TCATCTTGACCCCTCCGATAGAAGTACGTATACACTCCCCTCCAAAAGCATCAAAACGCTCGCAGAATATTAAATAAATTTGAGAAACCCATAGGAAATTGTTATAATTTCTTCAATTTATCTCAAAGTGAATTATACGAAACTGTGACAAACGCATTTTACATTATGATAAAAATAAAGTCAATCTTATAAAAAAGAAAATTAAATTTTCTTTTCGTCGATATATCCACTTCGATGCCATAAAACTTAATACTAAGCAAAGGACATTACCTAAACTGAATGAGAAATTACAATTTACACCAAATCAGTAAGTGTCCTAATACTTTTGGAGGGGAATGTACGTGAATCGTCGGTAGTGTTCTAATTGTTAAACTGCATAAATCGATTACACGACAACATGCATCGGCCAACAGCAATCGAAAGAACCGCGTTGCTGTTGCTTGGCGGCGTCTAAAAAAGATTACATACATACCCGGTGCGCTCAGAAGTTGTTGACCGTCATTAACGGTACCGTAAATATCCCCAATCAAAAGAGGAAGAATGTGGGCGAAATCGCGTACAATATGCGCGGTAACCGTAAGTGAACAGAAAACTGCACAGGTACCGGATGCGTTTCATGAATAGGCCCATTGTGCTCAAGGGATTGGGTCTCTGAGATAACTGCACACGTACATTGGTATCCGGTGCACATACACGTCGGCGAAATAAAAAATGTTGATTACTGCAAGACGCGTGTAATTCTTGCGGATCCGAGTGACGCAATTTCCTCGAATCCTCTAAATATTCCGCGTTATTGAGCAACCAATTTTTCAAGCGTCTATGCGCTTATCACTTCGTATAATTAGGTGTCGAGTTATCCTATGCATTGACCCTTTGCACTCGAGTGGTGACTCTGTGGCACCATTAAAATTGTTGGTTCACGTTCCAAGATCATTTTTATATTAACGAAGTTTAAATTTAAAAAATCGTTAAAAGTGTAACTGTCATCACGAGTCATCGCAAGGCTTTCATATGCATAAAATGCACTTTGTCGTATAAAATGGAAATACCATAAGTCAGAAAAATTATTTTAGATTTACGATCGATTTAAAATGGCTTCGAGTGCAAAGGGTTAATAGTGCAGTAATTTTGTTCTCAGTAATTAGAGTTAGGCATCATTTAAGTAAACGTTCGCTTATTTGGAGGTTTAAATGAAAGACCAAAATATGATTACTTATTATTTATATAGATCTAAATAAACGATTTAAAACAATAAAATTATTTTTTATTTATAAATACAATTTTAATTGTTACTTATTAATTAGCTTCTAACTGCATATTATTTATTATTTATTCGACACAACAATTGTCAATTTATTTTGGTAATTAGGAATATATGCAAGAAGCAATTGCATAGCTTTTACAGTTAGTGCAATATAATGGTTAATTTATCTTAGTTTTAGTAATTAAATTACTGGAAATCACAGAATAATTGAGAAAGGGACATTGTTGTTAGTTTTCAGCACATCGGAAACAGAAAAATTTACTGTATAATTGGACAAAAATGTGTTATTAAACGTACCGAAACGTATTTGTATATTTTTCAAGATATTAACGTTTACATTCACATAAATGGCACATTTGATAATTTAATAATATTTATCTTAA